AATAAACAGATTATAGTCAAGGTGAAAATGACCCAAAATAAAGTTTTTCCTATGGTGATGCTGTCATGTGGCAATTATGCATTGAGTTCTGAAAATATTGATAAATTTTACTTGTAGCATTTAAGATATGGACATTTAAATTTTCAAAGTTTGAAATTGATAAATCAGAAAGGTATGATAATTGGACTACCATCAATAAATTAAGAAAAAAATAATGTGAATGGTGTATCTATGAAAAACTACATAGATTGCTATTTTTATAATCATCTTGGAGAGCAAGAGCTCCATTGGAACTTGTCCATGTAGACATATGTGGACTGCCTCAAACAGAAACTTTTAACAAGAAAAGATATTTTCTTTTAGTTGTTGATGATTACAGCAGAATGACGTGGGGTATATTTCTTGACTAAAAAATAAGAAGCATTTTTAATTTTTACTCAGTTTAAAGCTGATGCATAAAAGCAAAGTGGTTTTCCATTAAAAGCCTTTAGAACAAATCGAGGAGGATAATTTACATCAAAAGAATTTTGAAATTTTTACAAAATTAATGGAACCAGAAGAGCGTTGACAACTCCACAACAAAATAGAGTTGTAGAGAGAAAAAACATAACAATAGTTGAAATGACTCGAAGTATATTGAAAGGTAAGAATCTTCTTAATAAAATTCGGGTTGAAGCTGTTGATACTACTGTCTATAATAAGTCTCCCATTAATTCTTTTCAAAATAAAACACCCTTTGAGGCCTGTTTTAAGAGAAAACCAAAAGTAAATTATTTCAGAATTTTTGGATGTATTGCTTATGAGAAAACTACTTCTCAAAATAGAGAAAAATTAGATGAAAAAGATGAAAAATATATCTTTATTGGATACAATGAAGTTTCAATCCAAAAACAAATAAATTGGTAATTTTCAAAGATATTATCTTTGATGAGAAAAGTGAATAGAACTGGAATGAAAATTCTGACCAAGAAATTTTTTTTTAAAAAAATAATGTTTCAAATATAAGTTCAGATCTAAGCCCTTCAAGTCGAAGACAAGAAAGTCCAAGTTCAAGTTCTTCAAATTCAGAGATGCCTCCCAAAAAAGTAAGATCTCTTTATGATATTTATGAATCATGTGATTGCATTCTTTTCTAGTGAACCATAAAATTTTGAAGAGGCAGCTAAAGAGAAAATTTGGGTAAACACCATGAATGAAGAAATTTATATTATATAAAAAAATAATACATTGAATTTAGTAGATCACCAAGAAGGGAAAGAAATTATTGGTTTGAAATGAATTTACAAAACAAAATACAATGAATATGAGTCTATTAAAAAACATAAAGCTCGATTGGTGGCAAAAAGTTATTCACAACAACCTGGAATAGATTTTAATGAAACTTTTGCCCCTGTTACCAGAACGGAAACCATTCGAAATTTTTTGGCCATAGTTGCCCAATTAAAAATCCCAACTTTTCAATTGGATGTAAAATCTATTTTTTTGAATGGGGAACTTGAAAAAGAAGTTTATGTTCAACAACCATTGGGTTTTGTTGAAAAAGGAAATGAAAAAAAATTTATAAAATGAAAAAAACAATGTATGGGCTAAAATAAGCTTCAAGAGCTTGGAATAACAAATTGGATAAATATTTTTGAAAAAATGAATTTGAAAGGAGCCCAAGTGAACTTTCACTTTATATGAAAAAGGGAAATGGAATTTCCGTGCTAATTGTATGCCTTTATGTGTATGAAAATCATACACTGGTGCAAACCAAAAAATGGTGAAAGAGTTTAGGAAAGCCACGATGAAAGAATATGGAATGATTGATTTGAGAATTATGAAATATTTTTTTGAAATCCAAATAAAACAATCAGATGGAGAAACTTTTATACCTCAAGAAGAATATGTTGAAGATCTCCTTAAAAGATTCAGAATGTCAAATTGCAAGCCAGTGAGTACTTCAATGACAGTGAATGAAAAATTGTCAAAATATGATGGTGCAGAAAAAGTTGATGCATCGATTTATCGAAGCTTGGTTGGATCTTTAATTTATTTGACGAACACAAGGCCAGATATTGTGCATGTAGTCAGTATATGTTTCAGGGTCATGAATGAACCAAGTAAACTGCATTTTGTAGTAGCAAAAATGATTTTAAGATATAGAGGGAAGAAAGAAACACGATACCAAATATATTTCTGTAACCGATACTAATCTTGTTGAATTTTCTGATGGTGATTGGGCATATTCTCTTAATGATCGAAAAAATACTTCTGGTTATATATTCTACATAGGTACAAAAGTAATATTGTGGTATCCAGAAAGCAAAATATTGTAGCTTTATCGTTAGCAAAGGGCGAATATTTCTCAGCAACAAGTACAACATGTGAAGTTGTTTGGCTTAGAATAATTTTATCAAACTTGCATCAATAGGATACCCACACAAAATTTTTCTGCAACAACATGTCAGCCATTGTAATGACAAAAAATCCAGTATTTTATAGCTAATAAAAAAATATAAAAATACGACATCATTTCATCAGGGAGCTGACGAAAAAATGAGAAATTAAGCCAAAATTCATCAACACAAATGACCCGTTTGTTGAAATTTTCATGAAGATAATTTCAGCAGATAAATTTATCTAATTGAGCGATATTATGAGAGTGATAAATTAAAGAGAGATGTTAAAATACTAATTTATCTTCATTCACTGCCATCTATCTCTTCTCTCTCTAGAATTTTCCCCTTTACAGTAAGAGAGGCCATGCAAAACTTTGCTTTATAAACAAAGTAAATGAAAAACTGTGCATAACAATCACAATAGAAAGTTGTAGAAAGGAGGTGTAAAACCGCCATAAAAGACCCATTAATCGAATGGAATGGCTGTCTTCAAGCCTATAAAAAGGGATGACAAGCGATTTACATAGAAAATTCAATCGAGAAAAGAATTAGAGAGGGCTATTGTCAAAAAGCTGTGTGGTCTTTAAGACCATACTATATCATTGCAACCCTTGTTATACTTTGTATTTCAAATGTAATAAAGAAGTGCTTTTGAATTGATACTTCCTCGTCAGCCCTATTGCATTCTTTATTATTTTTCAATCAAATTATTATACAAGGCTTCCGCAAATTTCTAACACTTTGTCCTTGTTTAATCTTCCAATAAACCTTACGAAAGTAGAAATCTCTTTTACGAAGTGCTCTCCTGTTATTTATCGACGCTGGGGATTTGCATTGTGAGCGCATCATGTTCGTTAGTGTATGTATCCAAATGAAGGAGATCTACAGGATTGGTGTTGAATTTTCGAGGCGTGATATAAGCACAAAAAAAATAAAAAAAAATAAAAAAAATAAAATAAAAAATAAAAATAAAAATAAAAATAATAATAATAATATGGAGGAAGGAAAAGAAGGGATTTTCTCCTTAAGTCTGATAGCGCATTTCTCAAAATCCTTAAACTTACATATTCATCTCAAAGGACTAGTGTCATCAATTTTACATCTCCGTCAGTCACATGGGGACGGGAACTCCAACTAATATACCAACAGTAATAACTTCTTGGAGCTAAAAGGGATACATATCTCGTGTTTTAAAACCTAGATTAGTGGACAGATCTTTTACCCATAGATCGGGATCATATCATTGGATTGGTGATCCATATTGGATCATGATTGATCCAAATCAATGATCCAAAAAATATTAAAAATAAATAAAATAAAATTAAAATAGGGGTTTGTGGAGTGGGAATGTAGGGAGGACCTCAAAAAAAAAGAAAAACAATACATAAGATCGGGTTTTAGGGGGAACATAATACCATATGCTTTGGTCACCATTGATTCCCATCCGATTCGGCGATTCAAATTGGAAACCGCTGAATTTTGAAACATTGCATATATCTTTTGGTAAACTGACAGAAAAACTAAATAATAATATACTTAGGACAATTTTAGGAGGTTTTTTTTAAAAAAAAATCTTCTAAACAATGATATATATCTGAATTTCCTTGAAAAAGCCATTCTTTACAATTATTTTTAAGATCACGCCTTTTAGAACTTTATCTGAAGGCAGAAATATTTTCGAAAAAAAATAAAGTTTTACGAACTATGATCCAGAAGCCTCATTTCTAAGACGGACGTGTGACTTGAATCTGGAAAAGCCCAAGCTCAAAGATCTCATTGCTAAGTAACGTAGTTCCTGCAACCATACTGATTTGCATCCTCAACAACTCAAAGTGAGGGTAAAGGAGGGTTTTAAATTAGGTGGGGCTGAGTCACTTGTAATCTCTAAATAAGTGGTTCTCCAAACTAATCCAAGTTCCGCAGCATGGCCAAATATCACAAACGAAAAATAAGGTTTTGAGTGTTAGCTCGAGATTAATAATAGAGAAATTTGAGATGAACAATTTAGTAGTTTGATTTCTGTTTTGGAATACCCATAATAGGGTGAGGTTTGTATAGAGCCAAGGCTCTAAACAATCAATGTAAAAGCCAACCTTCAAATAGAGTCCAAAAATGTGGTTTTAATGTTAGAAATCTTTGTGATGGCCTTAAAATATATTTTATTTTTAATTATAAAATTTAAAGTTTAAAAAATAGTGTAGGTCGAGCAGATCTATATGAACTTGAAAATGGTAAAAATTGACGGTTAAAAAATGCGTTAAAAGAAGCACTATTTTTAAAACTTGAAATCTATGTTTTCTTTAATGTCTATGCATCTTGATCTCGAGATGATCAATTGGAGGATATTTGGACATCAAAACAACCTCTTCTACTTAAATGTTTGAGGTGGGCTCTAAATTGATGATTTCGAGCCTCGGCTCTTTATAAACTTCTTCTTAAAAAAAGTATCGTACTGTATGGGAATAGATGCAAAGGAGTTGAATACTTCTTCTCTCATGGTTAATAAACAACATGTGGCTAGTAGGCCGTATGAGGAGCTTTACTTCAATAATTAGTTTAATCCAACTCATTACCACCTGTAATGAGAATTGGGGTTGGGGTCTTAGGATTATCCGAGCATCAGCGAAGGTTTAAGATTTCATTCTCCAATAACAAATCCAAAACCACTAACCATTTAAAAAACGGATAGAGGCTCTCTATTACCCAAACAACAACATCAAGATTAACATTCATATGCACGTATGGATTTGTAAGAGAGAGAGACAGATTTTCAATTTGTCATCTTAGAGTCACGAACATATTCACCTCTAAGGAAGAGGCCCCTGTCAAATATCAGATTTTGCAAATGGTTTAATGATTTTCTGGTTGCGGAGATTTATTAGCAGGCATGCAGTTGCTCCTCCTCATCCATGTTGAAGAAAGGGTGCGATGCAATCGGCACCGAAACGAGCCCTCGTGCTTGGTGGGGGAGCACAGACACATTCCTACACCCTTTGGCGAGGAAGTCGCAGAGTTCGATCCTCCACCACCAGACGCTGATGTTGTCAATGATGATGAAACACCGGCATTATTCGATTTAGGCGATAGCTCCATGTTCGTGCTGTCTGAAGAAGCCATGGCCCACTCTACCCTGCACACAAGTTTCACTAGATGATCACAACTCCTAGGAAATCAAAATTTAAGGGAGAACAGATTGAGGAGAGAGAGAGAGAGTATAGGCATGGTGTGAGAGAAAGGCAGGGTGGTACAGAGTTAGCAGAGTACGAACGTTCAGACAGATGTGTTTATATGCTATGTGGGTTGTTGGTGGTGGTGTGGAATGTGTAATTTGTGATTAGATTTTTGAAGGTTGAAGAGAGAGAGAGTGGATATGGGTGGTGAGAGCATGTGGCTGAATGTGTTGTACCTGATTCTCTTTTCAATCAATATTCCTCTCCATCTCCTCTCTCTCTCTACAAGTCTAATCCATCTTTTTCTCATATTTTCTCTTCTATACACACACTATCTCTCTATCTATAGATACTCCCTCTAAAATCATTCGTTCTCTCCCCTAGAATGCTATGCCATCTTTCATCTTTTTCCTCCTCTGGACTCCCTCCAAAATCACACACTTTACAATGCAATACGATTTTTAATCTTTTTATCTCTTGTCTCATCCCTTAAAAAGTCTGTAGTCTTTTTTCTTGGGTAATTTATCAGGTAAAATTACGAAAATTTCCTAGTAATTTTATAAGGAGGTCCTACTCCCTTAAATATATTTTTTTATTTTTTATTTTTTTCTAAATTCGCCCCTAGTTCTATGTATCAACCATTGATACTCTTATTTTTAATTTTTTTGACATTTGGGAAGCTGCCCAATGTTATACTGAACCTCACAATTTGTAGGGCAGTCCGATAAGAGGAATATGTAAACCGTCCTATATTTTTGGTCCAGGGTGATCCAATGTTACAAACATATCTAAACCATCCTATATTTTTCGTCCAGGGTGATCTAATGTTACAAACATGGGGCTATCCTTTTTAATACCTTCAAATACTCATGCTGTAAAAATATTTTTTATTAAAAAAAATTAAGTCTAGGTTGTCCAACGTTTTTAACACTAGACCGCCCCCATATACAAAGTTGGGTGAAAAATGTAGGGCACTCAAACTGTTTCCATTACCGCAAATTGGGTGATTCGATATTTTGGACATCGGACTGCCCATGAAGGTTGAAAGAATAAATAAATTGGAAAAATAAACAATTTTATATTTGATACATTGAAACCATAGTAAAGTTAAGATAAAAAAAAACCAGGACCTCATAGTAAAATTACCGAACTTATCAAAAGATAATTCCAATAAGTTTATCTGATCCATACCTAAAAGAAACCCATATTTCGTTTTTCTGCCCTCTAGAATGCTACATTCCTTGTTTCACGAGACTAGTGGTGGATCTTTTCGAGTTAAATTGACAAATTATTTTTAGGGTTTGGGCTCATTTCCAAGTCATCCAGAAACAAACCTTCCCCCCAAACTTCACCAATAATAAATAATAACTTTTTTATTGTGTGGAATCTTACACAAAAAGCCAAGGCTATGATCTCATTTGGACTCAGCTTATGACACGTCTTACATTAAGGGACCTCAGCCACGATAGGAAAATAAGGTTTATTTTCCTTTTCTTTCTTTATTTCCTTTTTCTCACGTATCGTACAGTTCTCTCCTCACGCGTGGCTAAAATATTTTTAATATGGCAATGAAAACAATCCCTTAGGCCCATGTTTGGTGGATGATACGTGCATACCACACCATAGTGCCTAAACCAACTTTCATCATAGGTACTGGACAATAGCCACACATAGGTGAATGCCAAGATGCTACAAATAATTGAAAGAAAAAGAAAGGAAGAAAAGGACCAATTCATGTGGGAATTTGATGCAAATTAAGAATTGGCCGATTAAACTTTTATTTTATTTTTATTATTTTATTTTATTTTTATTATTTTTACTTTTAGAAGTTGTTATAAATAGGTTTTTAGGTTAATTTTATAAAATCATTGTTTTTATTAGTCCGTTTAAAAATTTTAATACAATATATTTATTTTATAAGGATAAGTCATCTCTTTTTTATAAGGTCACCATCTTCTTTCCTTTTTGCAAGAGTGGGCTTATCTTTAGGAAGGCCCACTGTCAAAGGGCGGTTACCAATGTTTTTGTCATCTTGTAGGGACTTATCTTTAGATGTGTACGTGGCTAGGATTTATCTTGGAAAGGCTGAGTTAGGAAATGTTTAGAGAGGGAATAAAAGAGACCATAGATCTAATGGTTTTTGGTGAAGCTTAATGTGAATTAAAAACGAAAAAGTTTAAATAGAGTTGAGGCTTTAAACAATCAAATTAGAGCCTACCTCAACAATTTCGTTAAAAGAGGTTGTTTCATACCCAAATATCATCAAATTGATCATCTCGACATCAATATGTATGGACAAGAGAGAAAAATAGATTTCAAGTTTTAGAAATAGTGCATCTTGTAACACATTTTAAACCTCAAATTTTCAAGATTTTTAAGTTTTCATAGATAAGATTGATCTACACTATTTTTTATGCTTTAAATTTTATAATTAAAGATGACAACTGCTCACAATGCAGATCGAGATGATCTCAAGATGAGATTTGACCAGATCCGAACCACTAATTGATTATTTTAAAAGAGTGACGGAGAGTGGGGACAATCAAATTCTGATCTAAGGCCAAGTCTACTCAGAAATGAGCAGATCTGCTCTCAGATCAGTGGCATAGCCAACATTAATATGAAATATGAAATACTACATAAAATATAATAAAAACTATTTTAATTCGAATAAAATAAATAAAAATGAAAGGATATGTAAGGAAGAATAAAGAATATACCAGACCAAGACAGTTGGCTCGGAACTCCCAAGGATTCAAGGCCTCACCCCTATCAGGACCGACTGAGTTTATGTCGTGCGCCTCTTTGTTTTTCTTTAGGTTTTGACCAGGCATTGGCTTGGTTGAATGACTTTCTTAACTTAAAGGCTGCAGGTTTAATGGCCTAAAGCTAAGGTCTTCCTAGATCTAGGGTTTTCTCAGGATATCAGGTTTCTTGGCATATGGTTTTTCAAAGTCTAAGCAGTCTAAAAGTCTAACATGGGTCAAACAAGGTCTAACCCTCAAATGGGTCCCTAAATCCCCTTTTTAGAGGTTGAAAATTGGCTGGAATGGGTAACTACCAATTTCAAATGGATTTTCTACCCCGAATTGCTGTTTTGGGATAAAAATCATGGCGACACCAATGGTGTTGCCCAAGAAAAACGGTCCGGATTCAATGAATCTACCAAAAAATGGTCAGAGAAGGGTTGGCATGCGAAAACTGCCAATTTGGGACAGTCCAAGCTGGGCGACACCAGTGGGTCGTCCAGACCAAATTTCTTAAGAATTGACAGATTCCAGTTTGGGGTGATTCTTAAGCTATTGGGATGCTGCCTACAAAAAATCAGTTGATTTGGGTAAATCTACGATGGGCGACACCAGTGGTGTCATGCAAACCAAATCTACTCAGAATTCGCAGATTCTTGTTTAGGTTGATTTTGGGGCTGTTGGGATGCTGCTTGCCAAAAATTAGCTAATTTGGGTCAGACTAGGCTAAGCGACACTAGTGGTGTTGGTGTCGCCTAAACCAAATCTACCAAAAATCGGCCAATTCCAATTATGTGGGGATTTACGAGCTCTTATGATGTTGTCTGCCAAAATTTAGGTCAAAACGAGGTGCTTTGATATTTGAAGTGATTTTTTTTACTAAAATAGGGTGTTTTGCAGGATTTTGGATCATAGGGCAGGTAGTATAGAATATGGTGGTTTATGGTCTAGGGATTTACTTGGATAGTGTGGCCTTAAGGCTTTCTATGGTTTAGAAAACTATTGAATTTGCCGGTTTTCAAAATGGGATGTCTACAGTTGCCCCTTTTTGGCGCGTCCTGTCATTCGAGGGACATGTGAGTGTCAAAGAAGTAGACACTGCTGACATGTTAATTTATCTGATGTCACATGATCAGAGGGCACACCAACTTTCCCTCCAAGACATATAGTGAATCATTTTGAAAAAAGAAAGATATTTTAAAAAACAAATGTTTAGTTTGAAGTTTTAGCTCCTGCAACCATAAAGCCCTCTAAGCAGTTTAACGATATGCAGTGATGAACTTATGCACCCGACCCTTTACATCATAAGTGGCTAGAGGGATACACCCAACCTTTTATGTCATACGGGGCTAGGCATTTTTTGAATACATCCGACCTTTAACGTCATACGGGGTTAAACGTCTTTCTTGTCTCGGCTCTTTTACGTCTTTCTTCGAGAGAGAGGGTAGATCGACTAACAGTTTAACTTCTTGTAGTGAAGGAGAAAACATACTTCTAAAACTGAAGGTTTTATAGTTGTGGTTAGGTGCCTCGATTTCGCCCTCAGGTCAGGATGACCTGGTGGTGTGGCTCCGAGTTTGAGATGGACTTGGGACCTGTGACCGCTCTCTCGTGCACCGCATAAGGAAGACGCGGGCAGGAATACCAACGGGTGAGAGAGAAATTTAGTCGTGAGGCGGGACTTACCTCACGTGGGTCCATGACACGCTCGGGCTAACTCGCATGGGCACCCTCTTAGATCAAGTAGAGTGCCCCCCTGACCTGTGGCCGGTTCAAAATCATCTCCCTTGGCTTACTTCTTCTGACCAAGTGGGCCTGAGGACCCCACCTTATCATAGGGTGAGCGCACATATGCATGAGTACTCGACGAAAAATGGAAAATAACATGATAGAGTCTGTGTCAATTTGACTGCCTTACTGCGTCTGCTTGACAAGGGACTCTTAGTATATATGTTACAATAAAAGAGGAAAGAAAGAATGATTTGAAGGCTGGTTTGCTTTTCACCCAATACTTCAAAGCAAAGAGAAGAAAGGAATCAGAGGCTGGTCTGTTTTTCACCTAGTGCTCCAACTAAATAAAGAAGAAATTGAAGGTTGGTTTGCTTTTCACTTAGTACTCCAAAGGAAAGAGAAAGAAACTAAAGGCTGGTATGCTTTTCACCCAGTACTTCAGGGAAATAAAGAAAGAAGAAATCGAAGGCTGGTCTACTTTTCACCCTGTACTTCAAAGGTGACGTGTATTTTGGAAAAGAAAGAAAGAAAAAAGAATGAAGGCTAGTATCTCTTTCAACTTGTCCTCCAAAGAAAATATATTTTTTAAAGAGAAAAGAGAAAAGAGAAACAGAGGCTGGTTTGGCTTTCAACCAACACTTCAGAGATAAAATGCACTTTTGAGAAGAGAGAAAAGAGGAACGAAGGCTGGTTTGTTTTTCACCCAGATCCTTTAGAGATGGAGAAAAATAAGTATTTGCT